GCAGCAAGACGCAAGAAAAAAAAAAAAAAAAAAAAAAATGAAAGAAAAAAGCCCAAAGCACGAGACATTTTAAGTGGTGAAAAAAACTTTTTGGTGTAAAAGATTTTTGGGGAGAGAGGGGGGGGGGGGGGTGCACTTGAGGGCGGCAATAGTTTGTATCCAATGAAAGGTTTTTTTTTTGTGGGGAGGGAGGGGGGGGGGGGAGGTGAGGATTGGGTCCGTGTAAATTAGGGGCCACCCTTAAAATGTTTTTGCAAACTGAAAAATCGTCATAGCCCTTACCCACGATGAACGCTCTCTAACAGATACGAGAACCTATTCTTTAGAATCATCTAATACTACCTTAGGTAAGTGGTTGTCATAGATACCTTTGGCATAAACAGTCTGAACAGGCGTCAATTCCACAGCAAACAGGTGCTTTTCAAGTAACTTCGCAAAAAATCCTCTTAATCAATTCCGCTTGCTGAAAAACAGATAAAACGTTTCTAAAACATTTAATACAGCTTAGAAATATTTGACTATAAGGCTAGCTAATCGTATAATCGAATAGCGTCGACATGGACTAAAGTTCAACATATTTGATAAAAGTACATCAGAATATTTCGCTTTGTACACGAATAATTCTGCATTAATCCTTATTTGGTAACTGAGCTCTAACAAAAATATTCTTGTGCCTTCTAATAACCTGAAAGAATAACAAGTTTCTTAATCGACAGTGGGTTTGGATGACTTTTTTAGAGATTAATAAATGTCTGAGTTAACATATGACAGCTATGAATTAGCGGCATGTCCTTCTACTGAATACCCATCAATTGAGAAATATCCCTTAGTTATGGAAAAACACGAATGATCATCCCAAACATGCAAATAATTAGTCACTGCAACCCCTTAGCTTTTGATTAAACTTTTTCCTTTTGGTATACTTACTCACATTAACCTTCTTCCTTCCTTTTATGAACAGTTTTGTGAGGAGCTCTCATGTTTACATTCACTTCGCGATAGATTAAGAACCTTGCATGGAGAACAGATAAGCAGGTGAAATTTATGCATGCAACTTAAGGCAAACATGAATCATTACACTTCCTTTTTAGGGTAAGACTGACGTAATTTAATTCAATGACAGCCCAGCGTTACATACGCCTACCAAGAAGCAACACTTAACGTAAACAGATCAAGCCAATTTAATTGCTTTTGGAGACAAAACAATGACCTTATGTCGTCCATACGTTCCATTTCCCGTCACGTGTTCTCTAATCAACCTATCCTTATGTTTTATATGATAAGTATAGGTAATCACATGAGGCCAAGTACTATTAAGGATTAATTGCACGAGAGTTTTCAAAATTTTCCAAAATTGCCCGAGTCGCGAAGCGACGAGGGCAATTTGGAAAATTTTGAAAACTCAAGCGCAATTAATCCTTAATAGTACGAGGTCTCATGGGATTACTTGTTTATCAATAAAGGGCAAAATTTATACGAAGGAAAATCACGCGCGCAGTCTATTTTTATCTGGGAAGCCTGTTTAGCGCTACGGCAAATCATCAATCAAATTGAACTGACCAATCGATTCAATGAAATTTTATTCTCCAAAACTGTGTCGTGATACACTGCCAAAAG